AAGACCCAGGTTTGATTTCCCACACGGATACTGAACCGTTTGTATTTTGTCAATGCCAACCAGACAGGAACCTATTATGTAACAAAGCTTTGGTCATTGACCATGCAGTACAGAAAAATAATACAGGAACAGGAAAAGGATTATATTCTCATAAATCATACAAAATGATATAGAGACCATACATATATTTTGATACAATGCAATACCCTGTGGTGTCTGAGTGGGAACAAATCCTGTCTCCTTTAACAATGAACTGTTATTGACAGGAAACATCTCACATATAAATATAAATGTATAACTAGAACAGGGATAGTACAATTTTCCTTAAACTGGACAGTTTCTGTATCAAAGGATGATAGTTAGATTTCATAGGGGAAATATATTTTGCAATCTGAGGGTTAGTACAAAAAATAGTAGGGAGTTACTCTCTCTTACATCATCAAGAGCTGTACACGATAAAATACGGAATTTGTTCCATTTAACATGATGGAACCAAATTTTACATATCTTTTTACGTCTATACTAGACCATCTGCCGGTTTCAACTGGTAATCAATGATTGCATGATTTGTCAACCAAATATGTTGTTTCAATGGGAGGCTGATTAAATAAGGTTCTAAGTTGCTTTTGCCATTAAATAAAAATTCCCAAGTATAAATATTCTCATACAACTTCAATTTCCTCATCAAAAAGATTAAAACTACATTTGTTTTTTAACATAGCCTTTTGGCAAGATTACAAGGTAGGTTTTTTCTAAGTTAACTTTAAGTTTCCACAATGTACAGTATGTTGAGAATTTGTCTAAACTTAATTGTAAATCTTCCGATAATAAAACTGTCATCTGCATACAATAGTGCTAATACAGGCCAAACTGTTACTCAATAAAACAATTTACAATACCAAGTCCATTCATATTATGTTCACATAAAAAGTTTCAAGGTCATTAATACAAAGAGCAAGTAAAAAAGGGATAAATGTTCTTCCTGTCTAATGCCAATATTACAGTGGGAGAGAGGCAAAGTAGAATTACCCTGCTTTACACAGGATTTAAATTGTTGATACATGTTGTAATTTATATGAAAACACTTGCTGATCATATTACATTTAAAGGTCACATGCAACGTAAAAGACAACTTTGCAGATTCTGATCCCTTTCGGTATGGACTTACCGAAACAAATCGTCAAAAATGCAAATTCAACTTATAAAGTTGAAAAATAACGCGATGAAAAAAACCGCGCGAAATCGGAGTTCAAACGTTTCACTAATTTTCCCCCGACTTTTCTGGGGTTTCAACAGCTGGGCTGCGCTCATAGCACGTGCGCAGTGAAATAGGTTCGCACAGCTTGGAAGCGGGTTGTCGGGTGAATACTCGGTGAAGGCTTTGGTGTGAGCTATTTTTCTAATGTTTTGTTGATATCTCACAGGCGCGAGCTTTTTATATGTTATGACAGTAAATTAACTGTTTATATCATTTCATTTGTCTATTTCACCACACTTTCTTCTTACCGAGTCACTTTCTCAGTTCGATACTTAAAAGCAATGTCATTATTTAGCGTTGTACAGAATTTCTAACTGTGATATAGATATGTCGTTGTCACAGACAAAACTCAACGTCTTGTTTTATTGACACCTGTGTATCTGCCTGCCTGTCTGACAATATTCAATACACAGCTGCTATCACTGACCACATGCAACTTGAACTTAACACCAATCAGGCTATACACCATAAACAAAATGCATTGATTTATGGCCCGAGTTCGGTCTCTGTCACATTATGTAATTACACAGACAGGCAGGTGTGATACTTGAACACATGACATGTTATGATGTCTGTTGATTGCAAAATGTTATACACAAAAAATGAGCATGTATTTACAAAACCCAACATCTCTATATATACACACACAATGACCCGTGAAGGCATCTGCAAATGAACCAGCCGTTACACTTGAGTGCACACCCACCCGCTCTGACTGGGTTCGGTATCCCGGCTGCTTCATTTCTTGGGAAGTAAACCGAAGTACACAATTTTGCACTTTTGATTTGCGATTGTATGCTTATAATTTTGTTTATATGTTTTTTCATTACCAGCAATGTATATTATATGTCATGAATAAGTGATAATTGTGTTTTAATTATGTTGATTTTTTGGTTGCATGTGACCTTTAATCATTTCAACTTATGAACCATTTCTCCAGATAGTTTCAAAGGCCAGACTAAAATCTATGAGGTGAGGTGAAATGTGACAATATTTCGCTCATAAGATGATGTGCATGTGTGTGCATGTTTGACTGCTTAGCTGGTTTTATAGTGCTAGCTCACTGCGATACCATGCCGCAGTTAAGCATGAATACCCCACTCACACACATTATACTGACTCCGAGACGACCAGTCCATTAATGCCGAGTGCCAGGCCGGGACCAACAAATACCAAATCTTAACGTCTTTTTGTATGACGTGGATGGGGATCAAACCCACGACCTTCCGCTCTACAGGTGGACGCTCTAACCACTACACCATGGAGGCAGTTGTAAAATCTATAAAAGCACAGCACAGTTTTTTTTAATGAAGACTTATTGAGATTGGTATCAATGGATTATGTGGAATTATATCCTGTTTTTAATAGTAGAAAAATACAAGGGTTTCAAGGTTTGGGTGTTATTTAGTGGGCTTAGGAGTTCTTATAGTGTTGGGTTGTTTTTGGTTTGTTGTTTAGTATACATATAAATAAGAGATTTCAGTAAATTAACATGAACAAAACACATATACAACTTAAGCAAACCATAATCTGAGAACAAAATCAAATGATTATAAAAAAAATCCTTCAAAAGTGGCAAATTAACAACCAAAATTCAAATTTTAATGTAAAAACATCTACTCCAAAAGTCACTTAAGAAGCTAAAAATAGACCATAAATATAAAACTATAGACAAGCGATAACAAAATTACAAACAGGTTTCAGAGAATTAACAAACATGTCCTGCTACACTGCACACACACTACAAGCAACACAGAATACATCACATCCCAATTGCGTAGATCAATGCTCATACTGTTTATCACTGGATTGTTTACATAACTGACTTTTGAGACAGTGAGGCAGCTGCAGTATCAAGAACAGAAAGCAACCATTTTACATGCAGCTGAACAAGGCTGAAGGCAAGAGCTGAAATTGGTTTTGGAGTCTCAATTACATGTATTAGAAGTGGTCTTATGCTTACTGTAAAAGGCAACTAACTGGATTGATTGGTCACCTCCCTGACTTGGTTGACAAATGTCATTGTATCAAAATTGTGTAGATCAATGCTCATGGTGTTGATCAGTTGATTTTCTGGTCCAAACTCGACTATAACAGACCGCTGCCATATAGCTGGAATATTGCTGAGTGAGGCGTAATACAACAAACAAACAAACTTTATCCTGCAAACTGAACTGGCCATAGTCTTGTTAAAACATTCAGTGGATATTTGTCTGTTTGATTCAACATGAGCAGGATGAATTGCAGTGGGATAAAACTAAAAATCGGGAATAGTCTATTGAATGCCAATACAGTACATGGCAGTCTATATTGTGTATCTGCTGTCTGTTAACGTTTTATACCTATCACTGGAAGAAAGTTTGTATGCAGATAGCATGTTGTTATGTGTCCATGTTGACACTTTAACCGAGGAAGGCACAATGGCCACAATACAACAAAAGAGACACTTCTTGTTTTACATTAACACTTGTTGACTGTTATGGCTGCCTTATTCACAGCTTCGAAACTTAAGCAAAATGTAATGTTTGGAATAATATTACATGTTGTTTAAAGGCTAGGTTGCACCTGAATTATTCTGCTATGGTTAGTTTTATTTGTGTGTCAGTATAAAGAGCTTGTCATTATTATCATGTACATTGGTATTATGAAATACCATGCAGACAGTCTTATTATGTTGTAACTGTTTTGGTTTTAGAGACTAATAGTGTATATTTAGTGTGGTCATGACTACAATTTGTTTGGTTTTTCCCTGATGTAATCATAATATTTTGCAGAATTGTTTCTAGTCAGGAAATGTGCAGCAGTATTTTGCATTTTGTGTACTAGTTTGGAATAATATCTTTATTTGACCAGTAGGTAAGTTCTCTGACTGTAGATACATCGTAGTAGTGGCTTAAGTCGCTGACATTTGATACAATAGATGCTCCCTGGCTGTTAAAAGTTTACTGCGAAGCGGCATGAGGACCCGATGGTCAAAAAGGAGTTTGTTGAGAGCAAATATATATTGAATGTTGAAGTATCCGAGACGGTCGAGATGCACTCTTCAGGTACAAATGTCACTCTTATAATATATCCATGTTTGTATGTGTATTATACTATTTTCAGAGTATTTTTGCAATTACAGGAATGTTCAATTATTTGGTCACGCAAAACTGTATCCTATTTTCGTGGTAATGGTGCTACTCTGATACATTGTGTTTTGTAACTATATAGCAGATTTCTGTTATAATGTCAGGATTTTAGAGTCAGTTTGTAGTTTTAGAATCAATATTAAGTCAACATGTTCAGTGTTAATTATGGAATTTACTATCTGTAGTTTTGCTAGACTTTTTCAAAGTTTCGTGAAACTTGGGAGCAGTCATTGCATGACAGTGTCATGTATTGTGAACTTATTGCTGTAGTTTCATTATAATGGGATATTCACAAATGTTGTTTCATGAAAATAAGTGCTAAATATAAGTTGCTACATTGTATCATTCTGTTATTTCAGAACCTGGAAGTAAACATCCTTGTTAGAGGAATATCTCGACCAGTGTTTTATGGTTCTTTCTATATGATTCCTACCATGTAAGAACCCAACTTTAAAAGATCTGTTAATCCAGAAATAGACAAATTCTTCTAAACACAGTTTTATTTAATGCAGGTATAGTATCAGGTGAGTAATGTTCGGTCCTGTATCATGAATGACACTCTATATAACTAGATATATGCTCTCCACATCGTTAGTTACTTCTCTCTACAGGTGTTGTATCAGGTGCACCCAGTGCCAGTCCAGTGTTGTCTGCAGTGTCTGACACAGCCAGGTTCAGCTGGGAGATTCCACAGGGAGGTCTGGAGACAGGCCGTATTTTCTTTGCTGTCAGTCCTGCTGGTACTGCTGCGTTCATAGTGTTTGAAGATGGGTCATTCGAGATAGTCCCCAGTTACAGCGACAGACTGGTGTACCAGGGGAACAGAGCAGACAGGAATGTCACGTTCACCCTCAGCAACATCCAGACATCAGATGCAGGGACATACACGTGTGGGAATGGAGCGACCACTGATGTGATACAGGACTGTGGACAGGAGCTTGTTGTCCTGGGTGAGTGGCTACTTGATCAGTTGTTATATGAATTAAGTTTATTCCTGTTTATATTTCACACACATATTCAGATGAAAAATATATAAGTATACCTCAACAGGAATTTCTTTCAATAAAAAAGCCTCCAGACTAATTTTATTGAAGTATAGCTATTTGTCCAGGACTTTAAACCATTAGCAACAAACACAGACAAATAACTTTAGGGTTAAGTGACTTTATAGGAACACATCCTCTTCAAAGTGACAGGGATACCTGGGGATCTTCAGTCATTGTGACTGTAGTGTTCTTCAGACTAATTTGTGTGACTAGTTCTGCAAGCTGCATTTTACTCTATGCTGTCCTTACATTTAGCAGTTTGATCTTCAATCTCAGTGCAATCAGCTCAGCAGATCATCTGTAACCAGGGATGATTAAAGTGACCACAACCCAATCTTAGGGGGTAAATACATGTACACTAAATTTGATGGAAGTAAAGTATACTTGGTGATGACCAAAGCACTTTTCTGAATCTTGCAAGAGTCACCTAATCTCCTGTAGAATTTTCACTGTTTCTAACCTCAATGAATGGTCAGTCCACAATGACCTTTGTGGGTTTTTAGTACCATTTCACAACTATCATTTCAAAAGTAAAACTAAACTCCTGGACCCAGTTGTATCAACGCGTAATTATGTAATCATCAATTAAACACTAATCATTGATTAAATTCTTAATGTTTGATTAGTTAATGAAGTGTTTATATACGGTTGTATAAACCCTTATTTAAACACCCATTAACTAAGTATGCCTCTAACAAAGGTCCCGTCATTAAACCATGATTAACTTAGGGGAATCCCCTAATTATTATCCATGATGCATTGCAGGTAAACACTCATCTATAGTCTGCAGGGCGGTGGGGTAGCCTAGTGGTTAAAGCGTTGGCTCGTCACGCCGAAGACCCGGGTTCGATTCCCCACATGGGCACAATGTGTTAAGCCCATTTCTGGTGTCCCCAGCCGTGATATTGCTGGAATATTGCTAAAAGCGGCGTAAAACTAAACTCAATCAATCAATCAGTCTGCATAATGGCTGCCATCAGAAATCGCAGTAAAACTTTGAAAGTTGTGAAATACAGGCCTAGTTGAAGATCATATCAGTGTGTTAAACAGCAAACTGACTAACTCCATTACTAATGACAAAAAGAAGCAGATATGGGACAAAATAATGTCTGAGCTCAATAGCATTGGGGTAAGTGATAGAACGTCCAAAGAAATCAATATAAAATGGAACAACATGTTTCAAAATGCAAATAAAAAGTGTTTTCAGACAGAATATGGTCTACTACACTAAGTGTGTCAATTTCTTATGTAAATATTATTCAAACAATCAAAAACTTTCAAAGAATATAGAATGTATACCCTATATCCACGTATGATATGATATTGAACAAAACTAAATGTAGATACTGAAGTCAGTTTCATGAAAAAGTATCTGAACTATAATGCATAAAATACATCATCATAATACTGACAGTGTAATCAGAAGGATAGGGGCGATTGTGTTTACTCTTGTTCAGCCGACCTTCACCTCAAAGAAATTGCCTAATATGTGCAACAAGGTTGACGTATGACATCACTACCGCTGACCGATTTCTTACAAAATGGCGACTTCGCTGACAAGGGTACACAGGATTTAGGGATGACTCTTCCCTTGATTCAGGGATCATTTGTACATAAATATGTGATGTAAGTAATCAGAATTATTCTGACTCTCTGTGTATAGTTATATGTTTTTATAGTTTTCATTGGATAAATAAGAGAAAAAGCCAGAAATGCTGAAAATTACCGTTGTCGTTCTGCGTTATTTTGCATCAGTCATGGCGTCACGCTGCACGGAAACCTTGATAAATTCTTATGAATTATCAAATCTTTGCATTGTATCTGTTTTTAATTTCCTATTTAATAATAATAATAGTGAATTTATATAGCGCATTAATCCATGCTCAATGCATGCTCTAAGCGCACAAATGTTATTATGAGTCATTCTAGAAAAGCACTATTAAATAAGTAGGTCTTTAGCTCAGATTGGAAGGAGGCAAGAGATGAAGACTGTCTGAGATTGACTGGGAGATCGTTCCATTCCTTTGCTGCACTGAAAGCAAAGGAACGTTGTCCATAGTTCACAGATTTGACAGATGGAACTTGCAACAGGAGCTTGTTTTCTGACCGCAGTGATCGAGCTGGTTTGTACTCTGTGATCAAATCACACAGATATTGTGGAGCATCTTCAGACAGGCATCGATACACATGACACAAGATCTTATAGCTGATTCTCTGTTGGATGGGCAGCCAGTGTAGGTCATGTAAGATGGGGGTGATATGGTCGTACTTCCTGCAGCTGGAGACTACCGTATCCGAGCAGCTGTATTCTGGATGTGCTGTAGTTTGTTGGTAACAGACTTGGGTGCACCGGCAAGGAGGCTGTTACAGTAATCAATCCTAGATGTTACCAGGGTGAGAATCAGGATGATAAGAGGTTCTTGGGTCAGGTACTTTCTGATGTTGCTGATATTCCTCAGCTGGAAAGAGCAAACTCGGGAGATGTGGCTGACATGTTGCTTCATGGACAGTTCTGAGTCCAAAACAACACCCAAGTTCTTCACAGAACGAGTGACATCAATACTTGAGCTTCCGATCTGAACTACGGTGAGACCTCACTGGGTACATCTTGCAGATGGGCCTATTAGCATGCACTCTGTCTTGTCATCGTTAAGCTTGAGTTTATTGATGTTCATCCATTTCTTGGCACGATACCCTTTCCATGCATATTCTAAAGATATTGAGCCATTGCAAGCAAAGAATGGACGGCTGGGTGTCGGACAATTCCAGAAAATGCTACGAAGTGTAAAATTGGATTTTATCTTTGTTTACATTTCAAACAAGTGCAATCTTTCGAGTACAATGTTTGTTTTCACCCCAATATCTTTCGTTTCAATTCATCTAGGCAGTTGGTATTGGTGACAAAGACCATTTGTAATTTCATTCCAAAATTTATAGGGAATTCAGTGGTGTATTTCTCGCAGCTGAATATGAAATATACGTGATGTAATTGGTGTCTCAATACCGCCTTCGCGAAACGTGATTTTGTAAACAGTATCCAATATATGGAAAACGACTTCATCGCGCTTGTGTAAGTGTATTTTCAAAACATCCCAACCGATTCTAGGTTCATCGGCAACGCTTTCAGAATTATCATTAGTGATTTTATGAAAACTGATATCAGTGATCATTACTATGCTATTTTTGAAATTCTATATTCCCAGTATTTGTCAAATTTTCACATTTCAAAACTTACAGCAAATAACTCTGTGAATCGCGATTACATATTGTGTAAAAATGGCTACCTGCTCGAATTTCTATCTATTTTGAAAGATTATTTTAAGCACTTTAGTTTTGTCTGATTTAATAGTGGATGGTATCAAGAAACAGGGAATTTCCTGCAGAATTCAAAACTGTGAAGTAAATTTGTATATAAATATGTGATATATTTAGAATTTTATTGAACTTCAAAGTGAGGGTTAAAGAGGAAGGACATATATGTCCCTGTGGCACCCGGTGGGGGTTAATTAATCCGTTCACGAAAATGTTTCTCTTTTCTCCGACGTCCAAGTTGATGGAACATTATGTCGTCTGCCATGTTGATACAGCTAATGACGAGTTAATGATACCCCTAATCATAGTTTAATTAACAATTAAAGCTTTATTAAAGTTTGATACAACCGGGTCCTGAGCATCTTTGTTTAAGATTTGGCACAGGGATGAAAGGGAGAGGCTCCAAATATGGTGTTCTGGTGAGACATTCTTAACTGATAAATCTGATATGGGAAATATGCTAGGAGAAACCTTTGCTAAACATTCTTCCTCATCAATTTATACACAAAAAGTTGAAAAATATACCTGATTGTTTCTTAGAAACACTGTTTATTAGGTTTTATCATTTCCGGACAACAGGAAATTTCCTTTCATCAAGGCGAAATGCTCACACTTTCAATTATGGATAAATATCACTTACTAGCTGTGTTTTTAAGACAATGGAAAGAATGGTCAATAACAGATTAACATGGTACTTAGAAGCTAATAAACCGACCATTTGGTTAGATTGGAGACGCTTGATAAGACACTGTATCATGATAATTTTTACAAATCCTCCACCTCCATTACATCATTGCCGACATTGCCTTCAATTCTTTTAGGCTGCATTCACACTAAGAACTGAACTTTAAGATTTTCAACAGAATTTTTTTCACTTTCATTACAGGTCATTAGATTCTAGAAATAAAAAGGTCTTTCCTCTTTGTGGTACGGTCAGCATCCTCCATATAGCTATTCCCCTCTGTCATGTGGTTGAGTAGTTTGTTCTCAGGTAATAGAAGTACATGTAGTATATTTTGGTTGTACATGTCATTACTTATTGGGATTCAGTGTTTATGGTGAGTTTTCCTGTCTACTCCTCTTTATCCATGTTAGTAGCATAGTACCTGGACATCCTCGTGCATTCTGTAGAAAATGCAGAGATGTCATCAATACAAAGGACACATACTCCTGTTAGGGGACCTCTGTTGTTCTTCTCTGACAACTGGACACCTATTATGTCCGATCAGTGAATTGTGGACATTGTTTCACACTGGTGCAATAGTCTATGCACTTCAGGGCTGGAAGGAACATCCACTCAATTCCTCTGACCCCAGTGAGAACACCACAGTGTCAGAAACCTTCACTGATGATGGAAATCTCTGGGTTAATTGCCTTGAAAGTGAAATATATTCATGTGAACTTAAAGGGGAAATCATGTTTTTTTCATGGAATTTTTTAATCAGTTGATATCAATGTTTGAAAACATACACTTCATTTTTCTTACAGTGAAAGTAGTCCAGTTTAGGCAGTATGAGCGTTTTGTATATGTTGATAAGTGTGTGTTTGTCGGCACCCCAGTTTGTGCCGCTGATGGCTCTCATTAAGTTGAGATCTTTTTGACAAGAATTGACCAGGTTGTGAATGTGGGGTGTCCATGTCATATGTTGGTCAAACGTTATTCCTAGGAATTTTGCTTCCTTTTTTAATTCAATTTTTTGGTTATTTAGGTGCAGTTTGGGTGTAAAATTTTGCATTCGTTGTGTTTTGAAGAGTATGCCCACGTTTTTTTTAACGTTAATGAGAAACCCCCACTGTTGGGCATTTTGTAGAGACTTGTTTGATAGAAGTGGAGGAAGTCCAGAAAGAAATATCGTCGGCAAATTTTGCTTTTGAAATTTCAGGCCATTTATCTGGGAATATGTCGTTGATCATGAAATTAAAAAGTGTTGGTGATAATATGCTGCCCTGGGGGGTCCCATGTTCTAGGGGATGGGGGTCCGAGAGGGTGTTGTGAGATTTGAGGATTATCTGTCTATTATTAAGGAAAGAGTGAATGAAATTTAGAATTCTGCCATTAATGGCATATTTTTGGAGTTTTTGTATGAGGCCGTTTTGCCAAACCATATCAAATGCTTTACTAAAGTCGATGAAGATGGCCATAGTGTATTGTTTTTGTGCATGGGCTACCTTGATGTCTTGTTCCAAATGTAAAATATGGTCTAAAGTTTGACTGTTTGGAGTAAAGCTGCTCTGGTCCTCCTTAATTAGATTTTTAGTATATATGAGGTGTTTGAGCCTGTTGTTAATAATGCTTTCTAAAGTTTTACATAGATGAGAGGTGAGGGAGATAGGGCGATAAGAATCAGGCTCATTTCTAGGTTTCCCTGGTTTGAGAACTGGCACCACCTTGGCTGTTTTCCGTGTGTTTGGGATAGTACCTGAGGTCCAGATATGATTAAAGAGGGAAAGTGTTAAGTTTTGCATGTTAGGTGTTAATTTGTTGAGTATAGTGTATGTAATGGTATCTGGACCCGGGGCTGACACTGTCTGTTTGTTTCTGAGAGCAGACTGGAGTTCGTGTATATTTATTGTTTTGTTTATAGGTAGATCTGTGTGTGGTGGTTGTGGGGTGTATGGGGGCTGTATGGGGGCTGCTTTTTCATGGTGTTTTGAAAAGAAGGTGGGTAGTTGGTGGAGCTACTGACGGCCGAGAGGTGGGCAGCATTAGCTCTGTCTTTATTTGTGGCTAGGTCTGGAAGGTTTGGGTAAATAGTTTTTTAGGAAATGCCCTTAATGGCATTAAATTTTTTCCACATAGTTCTAGAGTTTCGATTTGTTAGCTTAAGGGTGGAACAGAATTGTTTCCAATGGTCATTTTTTGCTGCCTCCATTAATTTCTTAGTTTTATTTCTGAGTTGTTTTGCCAAATGTAATTTCGAACGGTCCCTCTTGGATTGATTAAGGGCCTTTTTTCTTGCCTTTCTGGCGTTGATGATTTCTGTTCTCCACCAAGGGACTGTTTTTGGTGCAGGGTTATATCGAAAAGTTGGAATGCATTTTTCTGAGATGTCAATTATGGTACTAGTGAGGTTTGTGTTGAAAGTGTTTATGTCTGTGTTGAAAATGGCTGTGGTGTCTATTTGTTTACAAAGTGTTGAGAATTTGTTCCATTTTGCTTTTTTAATGTTGAATCTTAGTTCTGTGGGTGGTTGTGGTGGGTGTGGTGTGGGTGGGTATGTGTGATGTGATTGTGATTTTGATGGGGCAGTGGTCACTGCCCCAGGTGTCATTGTGGACCTCCCATATACAAGATTGTGTAAGTTTAGGTGTAGTGAGTGTAATATCTATTGCTGTGGGTGAATGTAGGTGGGAGAGTGGGTATCTTGTAGGTTGGTTGTTGTTTAGTGTGCTTAGGTTGTGTTTGTCTAGCCAGTCAGAAAGACGAGTCCCATTAGTGTCGGTGAAAGGTCTTGTGCCCCACAATGGATGGTGAGCGTTGAAGTCTCCGAGGATGATGGTATATGGGCTTATGAATTTGGATAGTATTTCTAAATCAGTAGTAGGGATTTTGTGGGTGGGTCTTCTATATACGTTTATGATGGTAAATTCTTTATTATTAAGTTTTGTTTTAATAGCCAGGACTTCTAGATCTTGGGTGGGGATGTCGAAAGTGGTATAATTTAATTGCTCTGTTATAAAGAAGCCCAGGCCTCCGGCAGGGGGGCCTGGGATATTTACTGGCCGAGGTCTATCTTTCCAAATGAAAATATAGCCTGGTATTTTGAAGGCATTTTTAGGTGATAGTTTGGTTTCTTGCAGAGCGATTATTTGGGGGGAGATTTTATTTTGGGCGATGAGTGCCTTAAGCTCATGCCCGTGTACTCGGAGTCCATTGCAGTTCCACTGTAATATAGCCATGGTTGCAGTAATTTGTAGCAGTAGATTACCGGTAATAAAGGCCATGGGTTGGGGCATAATTTGCAATAGGTTGTTAGTGGTTGGAGAGGTTTAAGAAAGGTTTTTGATGGCGATAAGGAGGCTGGCTAGACCCTTGTGGTAGAGTTTGAGTTTGTGGGCGAGGGTATGTAGTTTCTTAGCTGTGGGATCTTTGAGTAGAATGGCTGCAGATATGAATTCTATGAGCTTGTTGAGGTTTGGATTTAATTTTTGTGGTGTGAGCGTTAGGTTGGGTTTGTGTGGGGGAGCAGTGTGTTTTCTGGCTGTGTGGAGGTGAGGTTGGATAGCTTGGGTGGTGGGTGGTTTGTGGGCTTGGGGGTGGGTGGGGCAGTGTTAGGGGGGGTTTGGGGATGGGGTGGGTGTGGGTAGGAGTGGTTGTTTAGGTTTGGTGGGTTTTGTGCATGGTTGGGTGGGTGCAGGGGGTTAGTTTTTGTGGGTGTGGTGGGTGGGTAGGTTTGGAGGGGGTAGGATGGAACGTGGTTTGGGGGGTTTAGAGGGGGAGGGGCTGAGGATGGAGCTGGATGTGGTATTAGCAGATGGAGTGGAGGAAGACACTGAGAGGAGAGAGTGATATGCAAGTGGTATGCGTGCTGGTTTCGGCAGGTCGGTGTGTTTTATGTGTTTGTTTAGTTTGAGGATGTGGTTTTGCTTGATGGGGCATGTATTTTGTGTTGAAGTGTGTCCGTATGTGTCACAGTGAATGCAGTATTTTTGCCTTGAACATTCTTCTACTGTGTGGCTGTCCGACCCGCATTTGGGACATAACATTGGTGATTTGCAAGTGTTGGTTGTGTGTGTATAAGAGAAACAGTATCTGCATTGTTGTGGGTTTTTCCTGATGGGATGTACTTTGTATGATAGCGCTCCAAATGTGATATGAGTGGGTAGTGTGGTGGTGTCGAAGGTTAGGAAGGTTGTTTGGGTGTTTGAGTTGTACATGGTGTGTTGCTTGTTATTGATTGTGCGGTATTGGGTGATTTTAGGTTGTGTTGGGATAGTGTTTGCAATGTCTATGTAGTTTTCTATATCTGTTTGTGATTCCCTGGCATCAATGTGGATTACCCCCTGTATAGATGATTGCCATCATGGCAGCTGCCAGCTTATTTGTTTGCCATCGATGAGTGAGTGTTTGGTGGTGTTAGTGAGGGATTGTTTATCTGGAAATGTAATTTTGAACCCCCGGCCACAATTGTTAATGTATTTGTATTGGATATGTTGTTGTTGGAGGCATAGAGCGAATTTGTTGATGGAGTAGGTGTGGTTAAGAGGTGTGTGTGAGTTGATGGCGAAAGCTAAGAGAATGTGTTTGATAGGTTGGGGTTGGGGGGGTGTTTCTTGGGCACATTGTTTTTTGTTAGATTGGGTGTTTTCGTTTGGTGAGATATGTGGTCTTTTGGCTGTTTTGGAGGGTTTGGTTTGAGTGTTTGGAGATTGGGGGGGTGTGTGTGGCAGGGATTGGTTGTGGTTTGGAGGTCAGGAAGGATAGTTTCTAGGTCGATTCCGAAGTTTATTGGTATTGGGTCAACTGAGTGGGGGGATGTAAGTGGCGGGAAATCTTTGGTAGGGGTTGAGAAAAGGATGAGTTGGGGTAGGGGAGGCCATGATGCGTGGCGGGGGTGGGGGGAGATAGGGGTGTAAAGTTGGTTTGTGGGCTGTGGTGGGTGGTTTGGGTATGTACACAATATATAGGTATGATGTACACAATATGATAGGGTGGCCGCGGCCAGCGGCCGGTGGGGTAAGGGTGACCGGTCGCTTTGCTGATGTGGGTGTCTGAGGTTGAGAGGAGGAGGGTAGATTGGGTGTAGGCTTGATGAGTTTGGATGAAGGGTATCGATGATCAGTGTGGGGCGTAGGCGAGACCAGTAAGTCCAGCTCCAATGACATATGATAAGTGAATGTGGACATCGCAAACAACATTTCACATCCCTTATATACTGTACATTAAAACAACAGTACACAGAGAAGAGAACATAACAAAATTGCACATTGAACAGGAAGCCTGAGAGTAGCCACTTATTAAGGCTTTGTTAAAACAACAAATCTTATCAACATAGATATAAAGTGACTTTGATCTCAAACCTATTACAGTAATTTGCATTATTAAGCAACAAACCACTTTAATTAATAAAATAACAAAACAAAATAGTGAACATATTCTTTTGACGACACTGAGCAGGAAATGTGGGCCATCCCATTCACTGAATGAGGGGTGGATGAGTTGCCATCCTCAATTACTGTAGGCGAAATGGGATGTAGGCGAAATGGGAACATCCCTTTCAGGGTGGTGGCAAAACGAGGATAAACCAAATTATCTCACAGGAGATACAAGCCTGGCTCCTCAGCTGTTCCTAGATCTTGGAGACTGTCACTCTCCTTTATCAATGATACGTTTGGGACAAGTTTGACCAATGGAGAAGACAAAGAAGATTAGGAGATACCTATCTTTATTGCTTCAGAAGTAATCCTATCCATGAGAGGTGCTGAGCAGTAGAGAACTTCGGGAAACACCTCTCATAATAAATTCGGTGGCTGCTTATGCTAGCAATCAGCATTGCCATCTAGAGGATAAAACATGATGTAAGTAATACCCATGGTCAAATGCAGCTTGTTATTTGACAGGAAAACCCACACCACCTGACCTTACAGTGTCAACTACACCTGTCTACAACCAGCGAGTGACCTTGACCTGCAGCTCCCCCCTCTACTACTGTCCCAGCTGACCATGGCCTGACCATGACCTACAGCTGGCAGCGTGACAACTATGACATCACAGTTACCTCCCCCTGGTTCCACCTACACCTTCACAGTGAGTTCCCGGGACAGTCACAGTTACAGATGTAGAGCGAGAGAAAGTCAGGGTCTGGAGTCCGAGTGGAGCCAGGTGTACAACATGGAGCCACAATGTGAGTACAGCAAATTTATTGTTTTGTTTTGTAGGAAAAAAATGAAGATTTTGAAAATTGTACGAGACATAAGTATCTGGTAAAAGTTGTATTAGAATAATGAAAGAATTGTGAAGAGTGTACAGTCAGTACTTCAGTATGACAGTAGGTGCTATAACTAACTCCATGCTTCTGTTTGTCAATTGCCACTACTGGCTTCCATTGTATGTACTTTATAGCTCTCTGCTCCCTAGTTTTCATTCACCTGAGGAAAGAGTAAGGGTCTATTCCAAAATGTTGTATTTTTCCTTATCCTGACTTTATCCCCCCTTTCCCTCCAATGGCTCAGTGGAAACATCTGTCCATCTGTTCCAACAGTCAAAATGTACACATCCAAACAGGGCCCTTGCCTCCATTTCCAAACAAACTTAACTTGGGTCAAAAGCGATTCTCCACAGCTTTTGTACCCTGCAATGTCTTCTCAAACTACAGACTCATTTCCTGTTATGTCTGAAAAGCAGTCAGCGTCATCTTCTGATCATAAATCTCAGTCGGGTTCAAAGTCTCAATTGTCATCTACTATTCAACAAACTGGTAAAGCCAAAAATAAACCTAAGCCTGATTCCTCAAAAGCACAAAGTGGAGGACCCCCAAAGGGTCAGAAAACAGAATTCAGTTATACAACAAATATGGATCTCTTGATGATATGGGCTTGACTGAAACCGTCCATTCTAGGGCACACAGCTTGTCGCCCACCAAACAAGTGCGGGACAGATAAACCATAAATCCCCCCAAGAGATAGATTATCAGAATAATACATGTATCATACAGTGGAATTGCAGGGGACTAAAGACTAATTTCAATGAATTGCAACTATTAGTCCAGGATTTTACACCGTCAGCAATCTGTCTACAGGAGACATATTTAAAACAGACGGATACTTTTGACCTACGCCATTTCAATGCGTATCATTATTTTTCACCTCCGGGTGATTGGGCCACTGGCGGACCTTCCATCCTTATCAAACAGAATATTATCCATAGCCCTGTTACACTTAATACTGGTCTACAGGCTATTGCTGTTCGACTCACTTTTCATGTGTATACTCACATTATGCTCTTTGTATATCTCACCGTCTTCAGGTCGTCAGAAGAGTGAACTTCAAAATCTATATGACCAAATCCCAAAACCCGGTATTAAATGATTTAAATGGCCACAACCCACTCTGGGGTGGTGCAAATACTAATGCTAAAGGTAAACTATTGGATGAGTTCTGTTCAGATAATGATTTATGCTTATATAATGACGGTTCCAACACCTATTTACATCCTGGCACGGTAACTTATTCAGCTCTAGATCTATGAATTACAGACCCAGACCTATTGAATGAATTTGAATGGTCAATCCACAATGATCTCTGTGGAAGTGACCATTTCCCAACAGTATTAAAGCCTGTGAAGCCATCTGATAATACCCCATCCTCAAGATGGAACTTTAAAAAAGCTAACTGGAATTTATATCAAACTCTATGTTGTAACAGACTTAAACCTTCAAGCAAAATAAACGTCAATCCTGGCGAAATTATGTATCAAAAGCAAAATAAACGTCAATCCTGGCGAAATTATGTATCAAAAGCAAAATAAACGTCAATCCTGGCGAAATTATGTATCAAAAATAAATCATGAATGCTGATATCAAAGGTATGGAATATGATCCAGAAAAAAAAGGTAAGGGTGCTCAATCTAGCATTAAGCATCTTAAAGATGGAGACGAATTAATTAACTAGTAAATCTGATATAACAAATAAACTTCGAGAAACTTTGGCCAAACACTCTTCCTCATCGAATTATCTACCTCAATTCCAAAAATATAAAAAACAACAGGAAAAGAAAACTATTAATTTCAATTCAGATAATGGGGAAGATTTACAATGAACTATTTTCTATTCATGAGCTTCATACTGCTCTTGACCAGGCTCATGATACTGCTATAGGGGCTGATAACATACATTATCAGCGGTATGGATAACATACATTATCAGCTTCTGAAGCACTTACTGGAATCATGTTTAGAGATCCTCTTAAACATTTTTTGATGATATTTGTACATTTGGAAAATTTCCTGCTTCTTGACACGATGCTATTATTGTTCCCATCCCTAAACCTGGACATGATACTGATCCTTCCAAATATCGACTGATCTCACTAACTAGCTGCGTTTGCAAGACCATGGAACGCATGATAAATAATTGACTTGTTTGGTACTTGGAAACCATGTATATACTACTTGGTATTTTGCTTGGGGGGTAACATTGTGCCGTACGGCACGATCAATAATTCCACTCTAACAAACCCTCTCCCTGGCCCATCTCTCAAGTAGTACAAGTTAGGCTCGTCGGCTTTCATGTCCACTTTATCTATGTTGTAAGTTTTGACTGACCATATAGGATCGGTGGCTCGCTTACGGCTATCACCCTCGTGTTCCCCCCGGCTGGTATAGATACCTAACTAGGGCCCTATCTGGTATCTGTTTCTCCTTCCCACGCAATGGAGCAGCCGACTCTGCCACTATTGATTTTAGTTTGATAGCGTCTACCGGTTTCTTGCCGGTGAGACGGGTGGCTTCATGGTTGATTGCTGACACCACCTTGGGTAACCTCGCTACCCATTCAGTTGATCGTTTTCCCGGGGTTGCCATCTCCCTCGCATACTGATGGCCGAATAAACGCTCAGCCAAAGTCCTATTGAATCTCTCAACTATGGCTTGGCTGCGATGGGCTCCAGCCGTGCCACGCCTGACCTTTGTATCGTGTTTGTCTAACAGGTGTGACACGACACCCATGAACTCCCGCCCGGGGTCAACTTGCAGCTCTGTTGGCCACGTCAGCGGGCTGCGTTTGTATATGCGTTCGAATCCTCTGGCTACCTGGGCCGAATCTTTCGCAGTCAAGGGTTCGGCTTCCTTGTAGCGACTGGCTACATCCACTACGGTTAAGGCATACTTGTACCTCTTGTCGTGGGGTAGGAATAGGAGGTCTGCCTGGTGAAGGCTATTGGGAATGTTAATACCAAACTTCCTTCTAGGCACGTAGCGTGGTGGCGGCAAATAGATCTGCCAAAGTGCTTGTTTTTCAAGCCACGCTTTGGCCTCCTCCGGCGGTACTCGCGCCATTTTAGCCAGTTTATCTACAGCGCTAGCTCCTTTCCAGTACCCACACAGACTATAGTAAATAGCCTCAAACTTTCTCTGATTCCGTGACATGTCGCCCCGACAGGGTATTTATATATACATCTATGTTCTTGGTTCAATTTTCTCATGCCCGTACGCGTACGTGTTTATCCCATCAATAGCTATCCAACGTTTAGTGTCCATCGGTGACCGGGACGTCTTGTTTATAGTCAGTCCGTATATCCTATGGCCATCACTTCTAAGTGTGTTCATTTTATGTCTAAAGGTACGGGTCTTGAACAGGGCTTCCTTGAATCTGGCGTGTTTGATGTGTTGTTTAACCACGTGCTTCTTAACACCCTTAGCCTTCGGATCTCACCATTGTCGGCCTTCAGTATGGAATACATCTTAGGCCTCAAACCTATGTACTTTCGGCTATGGGCGTGCCAGCACACTCGTCCTTCATCTTACCTAGGACCTTTTTATTTACTGTGCTGTGTATGGCATGGTCCTTGGGGTAGTCGCTGGTGTCGCACAAATCGAGGTGTTTTTCATGTCCTCATTACCGTCCTCGGTTGAATCTCCATCAGCAGGGAATCCGTGTCAGTGTACAGCACTTCACACCTGTCGTCGTTACTGTTTCTTAAGCTCGTTGTAGTAAAAGTCGTACATCAGGTGTTTGGATAAATCGAGGATGCTCATCCCCACGTAAACAGGCCGGTTGAATTTTATGTGGCTTTTCTTCATGTGTAGGGCAACTAGGTCATCGGTGAATATCTTGCTACGGTTGAATGCCGGACTGGCTATCAGTCTCCTGAGCTTGTCTTCCTCATTCGACCGAACCAGCTTCACGGTCACGGGTTTCCTCAGGTTCTCCATAGTCTTACCAAACACCCAGTTGTTCATGAGCTTGTAGAGATTTTTCTCAAAGTCACTGGTGGCCAACTTTCGGAGGTCTATGTTCATTCTGATGTAGGGCTCCATCCATGGGCTCTGGTTGAACACGAGCACCCTGTGTATTTTAGTCAGCCTCATACCCAACGACAGGTACAGCTGTAGGTTGCGATAGTGAACGATGTACTTGGTCTTATTCATTAAGTTGGGCACGAGTTTTTCAACGTCTGCCACCCGCCCACCTAATAAGTTATGTTGGTACTCAGACATCCAGTCTGGGTTAACCCTCATACGTTCGGGGGCCAGGGGGTAACTGTTGTGTGATATGTGTAATGCCTTGGGGTATTCTAAGTCAACCTCGAGGATATAACCTTTGTTTGAATCTGGTGCGATGCTCATAACATCAATGGGTGACGCCCATTCAAACCCCCCTGTGGGTAGATACTGGCTCATGACCCAGCCGTACAGGTTGTTGGCGTCGAGGTAGAGAATATGATTGGTTGGCTTGCTCGGGTCGTAGCCCTTCACGTATTGATTATTTGCTTTCGCGTATCGCTTGGTTGCCATGGAGATCCCGCCTCGCAAGCCTTTCTCAATGAATAGGTGCATGTCATAATCTGTGAGTAATTCTAACTTAACTCCGGTCTTTTTAAGCAAGGCATCCCACGACAGACCTGGGCTGGTGTAATACCATGCAGGGTCGAGTTTATACTGCTTGAAACATGTCCGCCTAAACGTCTCAAATACGTCGGCTAACAGTAGTACATCTGTCCTCAAGTACAGGTCGTGATAGTCACCCAGATTCTTACACCCCAGTTTATTCCATACATTAATAGCGTGTGAGTAATCGTCTTGGGATATTGCCGAGTCTGTCAGATTGCTGTAAAATTCTCTGATGGGGGGTAGTCTGGTCTCGGCGACTTGGCCCAACCATCCATGTACTCATAGGGGTACACACC